GCAGTTGTAACAGTTTGCATATAACATGTTTCACTACTACAGTTGTAACAGTTTGAATAAAATGCTACAAAACTACAAGCTTCACTACTACAGTTGGTATAACAAGCTTCACTACAGTTGTAACAGTTTGAATAAAATGCTACAAAACTACAAGCTTCACTACTACAGTTGGTATAACAAGCTTCACTAACCATATTTTATATTCATCTGATTATAATTGACTAATAATTAATATCACTTTTTAAGTAGATAGTTTTAATTATTTGAATGACTTTAATTAAAACAGAAATGGTGTATTGAACTTCTTTTACCTCGTGTTGTTGTGTTGAGATAACGGTTGACAAAAGCTTTGAATCAAGAAAACAATCAAAATTGAATTTTAAGATCTAAGCTTGTAGTTTTGGAGCATTTTATGCAAACTGTTACAACTGTAGTAGTGAAACTTGTTATATGCAAACTGTTACAACTGTAGTGAAGCTTGTTATACCAATTGTAGTTTGTTTCATATCTTGTTGAATTTATAACCATATTTTATACTCAGGAACAAGAACACAGTAATTGTTTCATATCTTGTGGAATTTATAACCATATTTTATACTCAGGAACAAGAACACAGTAATTGTTTCATATCTTGTGGAATTTATAACCATATTTTATACTCAGGAACAAGAACACAGTAATTGTTTCATATGTTGTTGAATTTATAACCATATTTTATACTCAGGAACAAGAACACAGTAACTGTTTCATATGTTGTTGAATTTATAACCATATTTTATACTCAGGAACAAGAACACAGTAATTGTTTCATATCTTGTGGAATTTATCTACTGTGTTCTTGTTCCTGAGTATAAAATATGGTTATAAATTCAACAACATATGAAACAATTACTGTGTTCTTGTTCCTGAGTATAAAATATGGTTATAAATTCAACAACATATGAAACAACTACCGTGTTCTTGTTTCTGAGTATAAAATATGGTAAAAGGTTCCATGATTTTTTACTGAATTGAAAATTCAAATTTTTTAAGGAGAAATATCCATTTTTTTTAACGTTAATCATTTTTCTGGAAAGATAATCTACAATCTCAACAATTCATACCTGATTTCCTTTAAAAACTCTTTCCGCAACAACAGTAGGGACAGCTCCAGTAATCCAGTACATTATGATGGCTACAGTCATGGTTGGTACTGCATAATATAAACAAAGGCCAGAAGGAGTCTCTTTGGAGAAATATGAGCAGCGATACAATAACCAGTAAAAGAAGCCAACAGTGAAAACAAATGAGAAACAAGCTTGACACAGATGCGCAGTTTCATAATCTGTTGGAAAGCTGGACAAGTGACTCAGGAATGGTGAAGCGATACATGGAGATTGTTCTTCACGGCACTTCCAAAATAAGGAACCACATCGAACAGAACCCATTAATAACAGTAATTCCAGTGCTTCAGTCAGTAAAAATACCAGGTCTGGGCTTGGTTTATGTTTCTCACAAGTTTTTGGTTTATTAATAAGTCTTGCTATTAAACATGCCTGTAAGAGGAACTGACAACATTTGTCCTCGTGAACGATGTAACTATTAGAGAAGAAACTAATGAAATACAGAAAAATAAGAAGAGAAATATTGGAATGGTAAATCCTCAAAAATGCAAGGTTCTTCCAGACAAATTTCACACAATAAAATAATGAAGGTAGTGAAATTACAAATACAGTGATAAATAAAGTTAAGTTTCCTGAGTTTAACATCTTAGAAAGAAATGAAAGGTCCATTATGTATAGAGTTAAAGCCACTATTAGCGAGGCTGCTGCTAATCGGAGAAGGTGAGATATATCTGTTTCTATGTTTTCTGACAGAAAAGTGAAGACTATACAAAAAACTGTTGTAACTGTCAGGACAATCAGACCATTGGTCATTAGAAAGAGATCAAAAGTAGCCCACTTTTGGTCACATATTTTTTTAATAGTTTTTAAATACTCGTAATAGCCATTGTGTATGTTTGCAAGATTGTTCCATGCTTCACTCAGTTTTGTAAAGTTGGACATTGCACAGAAAACAGGCCAGGTTTTATTGACTTCAATTAACACATTTTCAGCCTCGAGGAATTCACTTCGTATCTGGTGGTCCAGGTTGGTGAAGTAAACGTCTAAGTATTGCTGTATTTGGAAACTGTTGATCATTAGAATTTCAGTTGCCGCTGACAATGACATCAGTTTATTAAACTCTCTGTCTTGAAAACCAGATGACACATTAACGTAGAAAAGTGACGGGATGACCGAGCCAAGGCTTGAGAATGGAATTGGAAGGCCCAGAAGAAATGAGAGGGTTGGCACTAAATCAACTTGATGTACCAATTCTAGAAACTCCTAGATTAAAGAGAATAATCAATAAATAACTACCAAACACATACAAGTTGCAGAGGGAGTATTTTTCAAGTACAGAATCAGAGAAATTTGGCAAACAAGTATTTTCATTTTTAATGAATTAAATACAGATATTGTTTATTTTAAGGATTTGTGAAATATGAGCTAGGCCTACATCACAAAAGGTTTTAGCTAAGAGAATTACTCAAAAATTAATTTATTTCATTTTTTTAACAAGTTTCCATGACAATAATGCTATAGTACAAATGATATTTATAACCACAGACAGGTGATACTAACATATATCTTACACAATATCTGGCCATTTCATAAACATTTTACATCAATCATTTTCCTGATTACTCTAAAAAACCTGTGGTTAACTGAGATTTTTGAAGGAAAACTATGAAAAAGGTCACAAAATTACTTCCATTACAAAAATAGTATGGAAAAGAATATTCTTTCTTACTTAGTATTTTTGTAACATTCAAATTCTTACTGAAATAAAATTAATAAATTAAACCACTTTCTTGTATAATTTCGAAATAAGCTACTACAAAATGTGACAGACAGATAGAAGTGGAGGATTGTGATAGCCAACCTTCCTGAGGAAGATGGCATATGATGATGATAACAAAATGAAAAACCTACTTTCACTAACTGAAGATGCAAAGCTTACCACAGGATGTTCATCAAATAATTTAGAAGGGGTATAGATGAAGAGAGCAGATGTCAATTCATCTCTGCTGTCTCCACCATGATCACCTGACGATGTCATTCCATGATCTCCAAACACAAAAAGCACCGTGTCGTTATTCAAAAGTGAGGCAACGGAACTGAAACACACACACTATATATATTAATAAAAAAAGTACAAAAAAGAAAGACTTTAGCAAATATAAAATAGGCTTAACATTCAAATTTCCTTAACTCTTCAGTCATTTCTATTTAATTAATATTAGAATATTATTCAAGAAGTTCAGGGGGTTGTAATCTCTTTCACCACAAACTTATCATTGAACTTTTAAATAAACCAACACGCAATTAAAAATAGAAGTCAAAAGACTACTTCTCATCCAGAGTTATTGTCTTTCAATAACAAATAATGATTGTTTCAATTATTTTTTTTATATATTTTTAAGTCAGTATAAGCTTAGTTTATTTATATTTTTAGTAACTCTATCAAATATCTTTGAAAAGTTACATTATATGCACAACAAACACACCTTATAATGTTGTTCATCTGGGCCAACTTCTTTGCCATTTCTGGATGTGATGGTCCAAATCTATGACCACAGTGATCAATACCTAAAAAATGTGCAATGATAACATCCCAATCTTCTCTCTCCATTTCAGGTATTAAGTGCTTAATGATCCCATTATCCACTGTATGCAAATCCTGGGAAGAAACAAGAACACAGGGATTCTGGTGTAGATTTTAGATATACAAACACACTATTACACAGAGATTCTGGTGTAGATTTTAGATATACATACACACTATTACACAGGGATTCTGGTGTAGATTTTAGATATACAAACACACTATTACACAGAGATTCTGGTGTAGATTTTAGATATACATACACACTATTACACAGATATTCTGGTGTAGATTTTAGATATACATACACACTATTACACAGAGATTCTGGTGTAGATTTTAGACATACAAACACACTATTACACAGAGATTCTGGTGTACATTTTAGACATACAAACACACTATTACACAGATATTCTGGTGTAGATTTTAGATATACATACACACAAAATCTGCTGTAATACAGAGATGCATTTTTAATATGCAAAAATAGCAGTTGGGTTAGTTATTGGATCATATAAACGTTCTGTAAATATTTGTTTGTTGTGGTAGCCCTGATTGTAAAAGGATTATCAAATTAGGCCCAAACTTATAATACTTTTTTGTTTAGCCATGTAGATGGAACTTTTACATTTACAACACTATATGAAATACCGTGAAAAATAAAATAAGTTAATATGCTTACCTTAACGTTAAAAGATGGATAAAAATAAGATCTGTGAAATTTCTTAGGAAATAAACCTTTCCAAGTGTCGTCTCCCATAAAGATAATTTTTTTACTATTACTATGCATTTGGCTGATCAGATTATCTTCTGAAATTTCATAACTTGCAAAGTTGGCACTAACATCTATAAAAGTTGGAAGACTACCAGTCATCAGTCCTTTTAGTCTTTGAAGTGTGGTGGTAGGAGGGTCAGCAATAAATGGATATAAAACACTACCAGTTGGATGCCTTTGCTGGAGTTCTTTAAAAATAGATAATTTATTTTCAAAGAAGTGTCCGTTTCCACGATCCATGCTGCTCAAAGTTTCATTTTCTTGAAAAACTGTAAAGTCGTATCTTAACCCATCAAGAATTACCATAACAGCTTTAGAAAAACGTTTTTTAAATACGCAAAGGTTTTCTCTTGTAATTTCGTTTCCGAATTCATTTCTAAAGGGTTCCCTACATACTCTCGATATCAGCGGTAATTTGCGCAAAACGGAATCATTGCGAAGACTGCAATGTCGCTGTACGATTTCCGAAGTTTTATTGAGGAATCTAACTAAATCTTCATGGTTACTTTTCCTCTCAATCACAACTCTCTTCAACAAGAATCCAGATGCAAAAAGATAAATGCCATAAAAATACAAAAAACAAATCCAAGATACTAAACACACGTGCTTGGAAGTACGACCCATCGCAGTGGTTGCGCTACCTATACACCAAAAAAACAAACAAACAAAAACTCATCCTGCATAATAAAAGGTAAGGTCATAAAAAATATTATGATATACTATTTATTAATTTAATTTTAAGTTACTAAAACAGGCATGTATCGTTTATAACGGCAATTTACCCTCGTCGCCAGTGGATAAACATATTAAATCCTAACATACAAATGCAAACGACTCAGAAACTACAACTTAATTATGAACATTTTCTGGAATACTCATTAGTAGAAACTGACTTTTTAGAAAGGATAAACCCTCCGGTGTCTCAGCGGAAAGTCCAATAATTTATAGTGCTTAAAATGGGGTTTCAGTACCCGCGGTGGGTAGAGCACAGATAGCCCATTGTGTAGCTCTGCGTTTAACAACAAACAAGAAAGTGTTATTCAGTAAGTTTCGTAGATATTGAGATAGTTGAAACAGCTCTTCTTCGTTTAATAACATAGTCATTATGTAGTTTTTAACTTTATAAATAATTAAACATTAAACGAAAACAAACAACAAACTTAGATTAACATGTAAACCTTATTATTTATTTGCACTAAAAATAATTTTGGCGAATAAAATTCGTTTGGAGGATGTTGTTTTTTCAAGTAAATATGCTTTATTAAGAACTCTGCCAATAATAATTGACCCAATTTTTCAAGATTGTGGCAAATTTCAAATTATCATATAGCGTAGTATCAAAAATAAGTTCTAAATTTGAATATTCTATAATCGATGTTGCATGATATATGTATGTATGTAAATATAAAACTTTCTTCAAATTCTTGCAAAAATTGGATAAGAAATAATAATTAGCATCATTATTAGCATTAGTCTTATTGTTTAATGACAAATAAGACGGCTCTACTTTCCAGCTAGAGATACCTGAAGAAGGGCGTTGTACGAAAAGTGGTATCTACAATAGTTTATATTAATATGTATGTGTCATTAACACCTTGTTGTCTTCGGTGGTTTAACCTACAACATAATTTTGTTGTTGTTGTTTTTTCTCTGAAATGTATTATAATCAAGCTTATTCAGCAAATGGCGTTTGCGCCGTAGGAACTCAACTTTGGTGTATTATTGGATAAAAATGAAATCATCACGAAGAAAATAAAACATTAAAAAGTTCATTTTAATAATTATACTGTCCTTGGAATTAATCATATATAAAAGTTTTATGTATCAAAATAGACTATTGTTTTATAATTATTTTGAAATTAATTATTATTAAATTTTTGTCAACCAAAGAGGACGCTAAGTTACAATAAACATGGAGGGGTGCTTATCAGTAAGACGCTACTTGCACACAGTTTTTCGTCGTAAGTTTTGTTCATATTTTTCAAACGATTATAGTTTTAATAATTATAGGGTTACAATATATTCGGTGTCTCAATTTTCATCCTTAGTCAGCAGCAGGCGACTTGAAAAACTTGGCAGTTATGTACCTCTTGTGAAATGTCGTTTGCTTAATTCAGAATCAAGCAGTAACAATGTTAATGATACTATTGACAAATTCGAGTCAAAGCCTGACTTGAGGTCTTCTAATAAGAACAAAAACAAAATATGGGAGAAAAGAGAAAGTAAAACTGATTTAAAATCAACTGAAAACACAGAAAAAAAACATGTTAATATTGGCACAATAGGTCATGTTGACCATGGAAAAACAACACTATCATCAGCAATAACAAAATACTTGTCTGAGAAAGGTTTAGCCAAGTACACGACTTATGAAGACATCGACCGTGCACCCGAGGAAATAAAACGAGGTATTACAATTAATGCTTCACATATTGATTACTCTACCGAAACTCGTCATTATGCTCATACAGACTGTCCAGGTCATGCTGATTATATAAAAAATATGATCTGTGGAACTTCACAGTTGGATGGCGTTGTTTTGGTTGTTGCTGGCACTGATGGACAGATGCCACAGACACGCGAACATTTGCTTTTGGCTCGACAACTAGGAATTAATCATGTTGTTGTTTATATCAATAAGGCAGACTTGGTTGACGATGAAGTGCTTGAACTGGTAGAATTGGAAATTAGAGAGCTTTTAGTTGATTTTGGATTTGATGGCAATTCTGCACCTATAATCTGGGGATCTGCATTACTTGCGTTAAAAGGTAATACATCTCATTATGGAGAAGAATCAATAAAACGTCTTCTGAATGCTTTGGATAGTTATATTCCTGTCCCAACCAGAAATCTCTCTGCACCATTTTTGCTTCCTGTTGAATCAGCTTTAACAGTGCCTGGCCGCGGAACAGTTATAATCGGAACCTTGACTCAAGGTGTAGTAAACAAAGGAGATGCAGCAGAATTAACTGGATGTGATGTGCTAATTAAAACTATAATCAGTGATCTTCAGATTTTCAAGAAGTCTTATACGCAGTGTTTTGCTGGTGATCACTTAGGAGCTTTAGTACGTAACGTGCGTCCTGAAACAGTCTTTCGTGGAATGGTATTGAGCAAGCCAGGAGCCGTAAAGATGCACAATCATTTTAAAGCTCGCATGTATCTTCTGTCCAAAGGTGAAGGAGGCAGAAGCAGAGCTATAAAATCTTGTTATATACAACAACTATTCAGCAGGACTTGGAACGCCGTTTGTCGTATTGATGTATGTGATAGTGGAATGATATTACCAGGTGATGAAGGGGTTGTCATTTTAACTTTACAGAAGAAAATGATCATGATGCCAGGACAACAATTTACAATTCGAGAAAACAACGTGACAGTGGCCACTGGGATTGTTACAGAACTGTTACCAAATCTAGAAAATGTTTCACATCTAGGAAAAATCACACCCAAATAGATTAAATAATGTTTATTTAAATCATTGTATATTTATTTTGTTGAACTGAAATGGATCTTGTTATACAAATAAAAATGTATTCACTTTTTAATGTTATTAAAAACCTATAAATCAGCTTAGTTGCAAAAAAGTTATTCATTAGATTTGGAAAAATAGTGAATTTAAAATTTATACCAGGATTGTCTCGTTCCAGATATAACAAGTGAATTCACGACAACCACTTTTGTGTATTAAAGTTTGTTTGCAGATGCTAAATAAAACAGATTTTAAGTTAAACATTTTTGTTGTCAAACTCTCTAAATAAAAGCATCTTCAGTGTTATTTTGAAAACATGATTTTTGTAATCTATAATAAATTTGCATTGTTAGAATATTAGAAACGTGTATGAATAATTAAAATGAAAATTTCTTGTATCTGTAAAGATGTTTTCCAATAATTATATGCACATTAATTTTTAATACTTAATTATTACATTTTAAGTAATTTTTTATGCCCTGTTAAAATTTAATCTGTATTACAACAAGCCATGATAACCTGAAATATTTGGTTTGTGCTTACATGAATTTAACTTTCTCAACTTACTGAAACATAGGACAACTTGTATATTTCTGCGTATACATAGCTATCCATGTGTGTGTACTACTCGACTTATAATTACTATGTTTATGCACCATACATTTGTATTAATTCTAGCCAGGAAATCCTAGTGAGTACCTTATAAAAATCGCTGTCAATGGTGGAACTGCATTAGTTATGTTTTTACTGTTGACTTAAATAATATTAAATGTTGACATAATCGATGCTTAATTTTATTTTTCTACATAATTATTCACTTTTATGGTGCATAATTTCAAATTGTTGGCCAACCACATAATTCTAATTCGTTTGACACATTAAAATCGGGATCTTGTTATCACTTACTCGTGTAATCAGAGGCCATTATTTCTCTGTATTTATGCAATATTATACTTTAACTAAAAATAGTATTCCTAATAACCTTGTGACACATTTTTTGAAAGTTACCGATTTCATTGCTTCACAAACAAGGAGACATTAAGTAAAGCCTACTACACCAATAAACCTGACAGTTGAAATGCTTCCCACATTTAGAATCTTAAGTGGACTACTGCATGAAGAAGTACCAATATTTACAGAAAACTTGATACTTGCTGAATAAAGTACCAATATTTACAGAAAACTTGACACTCTATACACTGGATAGAATTTCAAGTGAAGTGCTGAATGAAGTACCATTATTTACAGAAAACTTGATACTCTATACACTGGGTAGAATTTCAAGTGAAGTGCTGAATGAAGTACTAATATTTACATAAAACTTGATACTTTATACACTGGATAGAAGTTCAAGTGAAGTGCTGAATGAAGTACCAATATTTACAGAAAACTTGATACTCTATACACTGGATAGAATTTCAAGTGAAGTGCTGAATGAAGTACCAATATTTACATAAAACTTACCCAGTGTATAGAGTATCCATTCAGCACTTCACTTGAAATTCTTTGGTACTTAAGTTTTCTGTAAATAGATACTCTATAGACTGGGTAGAATTTCAAGTGAAGTGCTGAATGAAGTATCAATATTTACAGAAAACTTGATACTCCATACTTACTGTGAGCAACTACAAGCCACAGTTTATTCAAATGACTTGTATTAATAAGCAATCTTGTGTTAATTCATTCTCTAATAATTTTAACACACCAATACTGTTTCAGCAAGATACTTTATTGTGAGTTACAGACACAATGGGATAAGATAACATTACTTGTTTTGTAATCTTTTCTCAACAAAAGAAAGTTTTCAATGAATTTAAATGTACGAAACAAAAAGTGTATTTAAACCACACAAGAATAAAGCAGACACAAAATTACTTTTAGTTATTTTCAAAACTTTATATCAACTAAAAGCACAGTATTTCACAAATGTCAAATATACGATCTTGCTCAAACAGATAAACAAGTGTGACATAATAAAAAAAACCTTCTCACTGACGTTCTAAACAGGAAATTGCTAGAAGTAGCTTTGTTTTGACATAAAAACAATAAATCTGAAGATTTACTGAAAGTGAACTCAAACTACAGTCAACAAGTGCACCAGCTGACAAAAATAATGTTGGAGTGTAGGGATGAAATATAAATCTGTCATTCTTGGCTTTCTGTTGCAGGCTGCACTTGGCCATTTTCTTTCTTTTTCTTCTCAACTGCATCTATAATAATTAAAAATCCATACAGAGAAATAAGTTACATATTACTAACTTTTTCATTTACATAACATGCAAAAAACAATGTTAGTTTATATTTTGCACAGCCTACCTTCCAGAAGACATAAATGGCCTCTCATTAGATGTAAAAATTCCTAATTTTACTGAAAGTCCCTCATTAAAAACTACTATTACAGGAAATTGGAAATACAAAAGGGCTGGTTATATTTAAAGTTTTAATTTTATTTCTTAGGCAACACAAACATTTATGCTAGGTTCTACAATTAACAATGTCTGTACCTATTTACATTTAAAAGCCATTGTTACCACACAATTTCATTTGAAGTGAAAATAGGTATCTTTTTAAAATTAATTATTTAATGTCTCTACCTTCTTGTTCAGTTCCTTCTCCAGGACCATTACTGCGACGTCGTTTTCGACTGAAACGCCTACGAATAAATTTTGGTCTCGGAAGTGGGTCCATTCCCAGAACTTTGTGTACTTGTCGAAATGCCATCAATCTTACGGCTTGCTGAAACAAACAAGTTTCAACACGGAAATAAATTAGGAAATGTTTACAACTATGTGCAGCTTTTGACTAATTTACAAATCTTGAAAAACATTTTGTGAACCACCAGAAGTCAGTTCTAATTATCTTTTTTAGTTGCAGGATAACAGCTCATAGAATGGCTGAGAGTTTTTTTTTCTAGTACAATCTTTTAGCTTGTAGCACCATCATCTCTTGACCGATTTAAGATCTAATTACAGTTTCGATTGATGTATTTGACCAAACCTAAGGTTTCATGTACTCTAACCCTGCTTAGAAGAATTTCAATTTGAGGGTAGGCTGTTAGAGATCATCATATCTGGTATATGGGTGCCCCATGCTTGGTATTGCTGACACACAAAAATATAGCTATTAAACAGGAATGACTTAGAACTGATCAGGCTTTTATCAATGGGATAACTGAAGTATTAACCAAAAAACTAAAGGACCAATACGTGAGCATGGAAAATGTAAGTCTCGTAAAATGTGAAGACAGTACAAAGCAGACAAAAGCAACCCACAGAGAGTTGCTCAGAACAGCACTGAAGTGTGGAGATCATATTCACAGTGACCCAGAACAGCACTGAAGTGTGGAGAGGTCACTGTGAATATGACAGAACAGCACTGAAGTGTGGAGATCATATTCACAGTGACCTCGATCAGCACGTTGCTTGATTCAATTACACCACATGGCATATCTTTGAATACACACACATAAACAACATGTTGGAGCCAGTTGTGCTTGCATCGATCAGCATCTCGCTTGATTCAATTACATATTTTGCAGGTTGTGCAGTCATTTTGTCTGCTACAAACACCACTATCTTACAACATAGCATTTCTCCATTCAACAATCCATTAAACTTCTACAGCTGCAAACTTTCAGGGTGCATTTTACCAAATGCAAGCACAACTGGCTCCAACATGTTGTTTATATGTGTATTCAAAGATATGCCATGTGACTAAAAGGACAGGTGTTGATAATGTAAGTAAGTTACTTTCAATCCTCAGTTCGTAAAGCATTACTGAAGACACACTTCGACAGCATCTATTGGGTTTTGCAGTTGATGGAGCATCGTCGATGCCTGGGAAATTCATAGGGGGTATCATCGATTCTGCAAAAAAGGTTTAACAGCTATCTAATTGTGATTAATTGCACGAACCATAAATATGAGCTCGCTCCTCACGATGCTGTATGAGCAGTCAAGGAAGCAAGTCATTCTCAGCTGTTAATCGATTCACTGTATTTTTTACAATTAAAGCTCTGCATGCTACGAGGAACTGAGATGAAATATGGATGAACTCGTACATTTACAGGGGTTCCAATCAAAGAGCCAAAAGTTCTTGCAAGCTTTAGTAAGGCACATAGAAAGAAGATTTGACGATAAGAGGTCCTGGAAGACGCAGCTCTACTTAACCCTTATTCGTGGCTAGTAGATAATGGAACTGAGATAATAGGAACTGAGATGAAATATGGATGAACTCGTACATTTACAGGGGTTCCAATCAAAGAGCCAAAAGTTCTTGCAAGCTTTAGTAAGGCACATAGAAAGAAGATTTGACGATAAGAGGTCCTGGAAGACGCAGCTCTACTTAACCCTTATTCGTGGCTAGTAGATAATGGAACTGAGATGAAATATAGATGAACTCATACATTTACAGGGGTTCCAATCAAAGAGCCAAAAGTTCTTGCAAGCTTTAGTAAGGCACATAGAAAGAAGATTTGACGATAAGAGGTCCTGGAAGACGCAGCTCTACTTAACCCTTATTCGTGGCTAGTAGATAATGATGCATGTTTTTTTTTTTTGGAGACAAAACTATGAAATCAAATGTTTCAAGACCTGTAAATATAAAGGAATTTGGGGAGTAGAAAGATACTCAATATAACAGGGATAACCTGAAGAAACTGATCAGCACAGTGTCCACTGGTAAAGGTGGGTTTAGTGAGATGATTCTGATGAATCAGGTTTTCAGGTTGTTTGTAGTAGTTTATTTTGTGTCTGTGAACTATCCACAGTAGATGGAGCTATTTAAATACATAGCTATTTATTGTACAATGTTTCTTTTATTACTGTTTCTGTTCTTGACATTACGTCACGTAACGGAACAAGTACTTGTCATGCAAGATCTTACAAGTTATCTTTAGTTGCTGTGTAGTGTAAGTAGATTTCGTAATTGGCTTTACATTCCATATAAAACAATATATATATATTTGTTTAGTACTAATTTGGTATAAATAAACATATAGATTGCCTCACTGTTTAAATTGAGTACTACAGATGTGTCCTGCCAATACATTTACTCGTTTGAGTGTTTTATCCCCCATTTGAAATATAACAAATTGCACCCCTGTCAATAAACACCACTTCTCACCTGTGTACTATCAGTAAGATCCTCTGTCAATAAATACCACTTCTCACCTGTGCACTAGCAGTAAGATCCCCACTGATAGTACACAGGTGAGAAGTGGTGTTTATTGACAGGGGATCTTACTGCTAGTGCACAGGTGAGAAGTGATGTTTATTGACAACGATCCCCTGTCAATAAACAACACTTCTCACCTGTGCACTATCAGTACGATCCCCTGTCAATAAACAACACTTCTCACCTGTACACTAGCAGTAAGATCCCCTGTCAATAAACATCACTTCTCACCTGTGCACTAGCAGTAAGATCCCCTGTCAATAAACAACCACTTCTCACCTGTGCACTAGCAGTAAGATCCTCTGTCAATAAACATCACTTCTCACCTGTGCACTAGCAGTAAGATCCCCTGTCAATAAACACCACTTCTCACCTGTGCACTAGCAGTAAGGTCCTCTCTATCCTGATTGTTCATATCTGTAACAGCATCTACTGGTTCTTTCTCACAAGGATCTGTAAGTCCTGGACCACCTAAAACACAAATCAGTCGATGAAATAACTGTCAATGTAAAATTATATTCTCCTACTCACATCATCTTCTGCATATAAAAATAACCTTTCATTTGTAATACTTACACATCTATTAATTAAAAAATGATGATAATAAATTAGGTTCTTAACAATCGATTTGTCCAGATTAATCGTACAAAGTTAACTAACCTGGTAAGAAAATACCTCCAGCAACAGCTTCAAACACTCGACGGAGAGCATCACCAGGACTCAAGGGTACAGGTGAGCTGCTTATAACTCTCTCCACTAGAAGTTCCATTGCCTGAATACATATACATACAAACTTCACTGAATATTATAAATGTTTCTGGTAAAGTTCTTACAGTTTCCAGAATGATTCATACGTATTATCATTCATTATTTATTACACAAGTTAGGGTAAATATTGTACATAAATACATCCTAATGTACATATTACCAAGATTACAGACCTCAAATTAAACAACTAAAAACTTACCCAGCTGTTCAGACGTTCCCAGGTTGGCAGCCGTTGCCGTAAATTTTGGAGGACCCGAATTACCACTACACAGGAATGTAAGCCACTGGCTTTAACCTACAAATACCAACAGCTATAACTACAGGTAAAAGTAATGACACATTATAAAAGGAATAATATAAAGAAAACTATAAAATGTATCAGTTGAACAGGTTAATCAACTTATTGACAAACATACTAGTATCAGTTAAACTAAAACAGTCTTATAACTAGTATCAGTTAAACTAAAACAGTCTTATAACATACTAGTATCAGTTAAACTAAAACAGTCTTATAACATACTAGTATCAGT